TGTTTATAAGTTTTGCTTTTTTTAAATGTTGAATTTTATGACATTTATGTAAGAAGACAATATAAGTGAATGTTAAAAAAGACCAGCCTAAACCCCCCCCCACCCTCAAAAAACCCCCAAGGCAACCAGCTGCATTCAGGGAAACTCTTTCTTCTATTCCTTTAATGGGCAGTCTTCACTGAAACTCATTCAACTTCCTACAGGGAGAGAAAGATTGCAGAAAGAATAAAAACGTACAAATATGACAACTAGCATCTAGTTATGATCGCTATTAAGGTGTTTCTCACGTTATCTAACTGCAAATATAGCATAACTGCCTATATCTAAAACTAAACATTAACTATAACGTGTTTCATAAAATACAACCACTGGCCAGATTTCCGAGAGGTAAGCTAATGCGTTAAAATGCCAAAAACTGCTGTAATTTTCTCAACTTTCTGGCGAGTGTGCTTGAGAAGCACTGAAATGAATGGGCTTCAATACGGTTGTTTGTCTTTCTTCTATTCCTTTAATGGGCAGTCTTCACTGAAACTCATTCAACTTCCTACAGGGAGAGAAAGATTGCAGAAAGAATAAAAACGTACAAATATGACAACTAGCATCTAGTTATGATCGCTATTAAGGTGTTTCTCACGTTATCTAACTGCAAATATAGCATAACTGCCTATATCTAAAACTAAACATTAACTTTAACGTGTTTCATAAAATACAACTACTGGCCAGATTTCCGAGAGGTAAGCTAATGCGTTAAAATGCCAAAAACTGCTGTAATTTTCTCAACTTTCTGGCGACTGTGCTTGAGAAGCACTGAAAGGAATGGGCTTCAATACGGTTGTTTGGAACTATTGGCTGCTCCATGACACGCTTTACTTCCGCATTCCTCAGTTCCTATTAGGGGTGCAACGGTTCAACTTACTCACGGTTTGGTTTGTATCACGGTTTCGGTACAGTTCGGTATGTGCTATGTTTAGAGAAAAAACGATATTGTCAAATAAAAATAAAGAAAATAAGAACAAATAATCTTAACTGCAAGCAACAGCACAAATAAATAAACAGTGAAAAAAGATACAAATAAAATAAACAGTGCTTTTCAGTTTTTTTTAGGTAGGTCTAACATAGTTTTTAGGTACAGAAATTGAATAAATCAAATGTAAAATAACATTGCATAGGCTATTTGACTGTATAAATTAAAGATTAATCTTTATTAAAGTTACAAAAGTTATTCAATCAAGTTGCAGTGAGAGATGTCCGTGTTGTTGCTGTTTGATTAACATTAAGAAAGTGCTGTCACTTTAAGAGAACGCACTGATCCAGTGCACTGATACTGTACGTTCAGCCGACTATGTCTGCTAGGATACTCACCAAGACGGGCTTGTAAAATAACGCGCTTCGAATGAGCGACCACACAGATCCTTCTCACTGCACGCGCGAGTTCACGTCTTCTGGTTCTTTAATATTTAAACTGGCAAGGCTTAAATGAGTTTAGTTTAAACACAGATAGCAACGTGTGCTGTTCAGGTCTCACCTGCGCTATCAACACGTGATGACGGCATAAATTACAGTTATTCCAGCATAAAGCACTCGATTTGATTAAAGAGTGACTTGTTTGTCCACGTATAGTTTTTTTTCCCCTCTCTCATCGCTCTTGTTGTAATGTTTTGGGAAGACAGAATTTGTATCCATCAACAGAAACATGCATTAGCCGAACTCTAACAAACCATATTACAGATGCATTGTCAGATTTCAGTTGAACCACGGTCCTAGTTTATGCCGAACCATGTGTGGAGAACGGTACGGTTCGATTTTTTACTGAGAACCGTTGCACCCCTAGTTCCTATGGAAGCCTATGGAAGTGTCGCAACTCTGTTTCTCAACGGCTCTGGTATTAGGGGAAGGAACATTCTCATTCTAGAGAGCGTTTGATTGGTCAAAAACCTGTGTAGTGCAGGATGAGTCATCAATATCTGCTAAAGGTTAATTTAGGCATTTTTTAGGAATACACAAGCATACAGGCAGAGCTACTAGATATTGAAAGAGTTCAGGGTCTTTAAATAGTAACTTGTTCCTTGATAGTCCTTGATTTTGTTTAGTCTGTCCTTTCTCCGTCTGCATATGTTTTTCAGTGATGCACAGTATAGACTGTTGCATTACATTGTTGAGAATGTAAACCATTATGAACTGGTGAACTAATGAACTAATCTGAGAACAGTTGAGAACAAGACAAGACAACACTTCAAATAAAGCCTTGGTCAAAAGGATCATACGATTTTTGGCAATAATATTTGCATGCCTTCGGTTAAGACAAATAGTGCATAGATAAAACTTTACACAAAGATCATGACAGCATTTTTCCCAGCTGATTAGACTGGTGTTCGTGGACTGCATGTGCACAGGTTTTATACCATGAATCCTGTGATTCATTGACCATTGGACTTTTTGAATGTCACATAAATGTTATTCACTAGAACTTTAATGTTTCCTGAAAAAAAAAACCTTGCTGTAACTATACTTTTCTACGTCTCTAACACATCCTATCTTTTCCTAAGCGATTTTACACCAGTCTCACACAATCTTTTACAAAACTAGCCAAACTTTTATACCTAAAACCACTATCACCTTAACAGTCTTTCTTTTCACCCTTCTTACCATCTTTTGTCCCTTCTGCTGCACTTGTCACTAAAAGCACGTAATCCACTCGAGAGTTCAGTGCCTTGTCTAACGACTCGCACCTCAGAGGAGGTGTTGCGAGCCCCTGGAAGTCCAAGCATGGGATGGCCTAGTAAGTCCAACTTACCAGTTGCCAGTGCATGTATATGTGTCCTTTCACCCCACGTAGTGTGTAACATAGCTGTGATAGAATAGCATAACATTGAAGCTTAAAAGGGTCATATCACGAGGAATCAAATCTTCTAATACCATTTAAAGAGTTCATTGAACAATTAAATAACACCTCAGAGACAAATTAAATCATACAAAATGTACACTCTTAAAAAGAAGGCTTCCAAAAGGAAGCTTTCGCTGTGACACATAGAAGATCCTATTTTAAGATCGTATGATATGACCTTTTCTAACTTTTTTGTTTGTTGTTGTGACCATCTATGTTTTGGTAGCCGGTCCTGTAGTCATTGTTATGTAATATATTTTCATACCTAGAATTTCCCATTATGGTGACCTTTACCCTTAATAGATTTAAATTCCAGAGCCTTCTAATAATCACCATATCATCGGTCCCACTTTATATTAAGTGTCCCTAATACCTGTGTACTTACATAGTAACTAAATATGTACGTAGTATGTAACCACAGTGTAAGTACACACATTGGTACATAGTATCTACAGCTGTAATATTTCTGTAACTACACACATGTAACAACCCTCAGGATGGTTTGTGTAAGTACAACAGGACATTGGTAACAACACTTTTTTCTCTTCACTAAGTGCTCATGTAACAGGAATTATATAACTACATTTTGTAACAACAATATGTATAAGAGTAATTGGAACCATTTGATCCATGGGGTGAAGATGGGTTGGTTTAGGGGTGGAAATGGGATCCAGGGGGTGAAGATGGGTTGGTTTAGGGGTGGAAATGGGATCCAGGGGGTGGAGATGGGTTGGTTTAGGGATATGTAAAGTGGGAGGAGTTGGATCTCGAGTTGGAGTTGGTGCACCACTGTAATAGCAGTGTACTTACATGGTAACTCCTCAGGAATTGTCCACTTAATGTAAAGTGTAACATTCTGGACACTAACCACAATTTATATGTAAAGCCTAACTTACTGGCCGCTGCTGTGTAACTGAGTAATTACATGATAAATGTAATATAAAGTGTAACACTTTCTTTACCAAAAAGTGCTGTTAGTCCTGTTACACATTTGTACTTTCATTACCAAAAAGTGTTGTTACCAATGTCCTGTTACACATTTGTACTTACACATACCATTCAGTGGGTTGTTACATACGTGTAGTTACACAAACATTAGAGCTGTAGATACTATGTACCAATGTGTACTTACACTGTGGTTACATACTATGTACACATCTAGTTACTATGTAAGTACACAGGTATTAGGGTCACTTAATATAAGGTGGGACCTTTTTCTTCTTCTTCTTTTTCTCTCTCTCAATATATATATTTTTTGTAAGTGCTTCATAAATGAAGCTTTTTTTTGTTTGTTTAAACCTCCCTCATCTGTATTCAGCCTCATTTTTTCTTCTATTGGCTGCATTTTGTCTTCTTTTTGCTGCACCAAACTGACATCTTAGTCATTATAACACAAGAATCCTGGTCAGTAATAGGCAGGTTTTTGGCTTTAGGAATACTTTGCATCACTATGCTGTTCTCCTGCTATGCTTTTCACAGCATGATGACAATGACGTGGACTCTGTAAGGTTAATAGTTAACCTTTCAGTAGGTTCCTTTATTGCCTGTCAAAGCACCTTTCCTAATTTAAGTTATTTTAATTTTAAAAGCATGGACTCAAGAAATTCAGAGCCTGTGAAGAAATATTCTCACAGGTTCCCCATTGGTTTCATCTGACATTCAAGGTGCCTTTGCTTATTCTGATTTTGTATTTCTCTGAAGACTTTTTTTTTTTACTTTTTGTTTAATAGAATGGAATGGTGCCCTTTTCAATTTGGGAGTTTTTTACTGATGTTATTTTCATAAATTTTACTCAGGCAGCCCAACCACCACACATCGCAACTTGACATCAAGCAGCCTGAATGATATCTCAGACAAGCCAGAGAAAGATCAGGTGAGTCCAGCTGCATTCATATATATACAGTATATATATATATATATATATACAGTGCTGCTTGAAAGTTTGTGAACCCTTTAGAATTGTCTATATTTCTTCATAAATATAACCCAAAAAATCATCCTGAAAAGTCCTGAAAGTTGACAGAGAACCCAATCAAACAAATGAGATGAAAATATATACTTTGCCATTTATTTATTCAGGAAAATGATCCAATATTACATATCTGTGAGTAGGCATGAGCCGGTATGAGATTTTGATGGTATGATAACCTTAAGCAAAAATATAACGGTATCACGGTATTGTCGTTACAGCTCTAAAATGTGTTATTTTTAAATGACTGGGTAAAAAAAAACAAAAAAAAACATTTTTCCGCTGAACACAATATATTTTGTTTTTGAGCAACATACAGAATATTAGGAACAGTAGAATTTGTTTATTTTTCTTTGATTTGTTTCCTAAAAAGAAGAAAAATAAAGACTGACAATTTAATTTTAGTTATATAATTCATATACATATGTTTTTTTTAAAAGACGTGGAAAAAAAAAAAAAAAAAAAACATTTTTCCGCTGAACACAATATATTTTGTTTTTGAGCAACATACAGAATATTAGGAACAGTAGAATTTGTTTATTTTTCTTTGATTTGTTTCCTAAAAAGAAGAAAAATAAAGACTGACAATTTAATTTTAGTTATATAATTCATATACATATAATTTAGATCATTTCATATAATTTAGTTATATAATTTCATATACATATTTTGATTTAATAATAACCCAATTTGAAGCAAAAACAGAATGTTCTGACTAGCTTTGTGAACTTATACTACATGGGGGGGAGGGGGGGAGTGACCGTGTACACATACACACACACACACATATATAGTATGCATGAAAATGCATATTTTTCAATTAAAGACAGCTTATAGATTTAATATTGGTTGCTTTTGGTGCTTGACACCTTTTTATTGATCATATTGTGTTTCAAGAATAATGTCCAAGGTTAAGATTTATGCCATTAGTTACTTAAATATAAAACATTTCAACAAACAACATTACAGTAATGAAAGACGACTTCCCTTTCTGATCACGTCTCTTGCGCGGTGGGATGTTGGACTCATGAAAAATAATCACGTTGTTTGTATTCAGGCGGGAGCGACCAGCCAGCAGAGGATTCCATAGCCTTCCTCGAACAGTTATGTTCACGATTTCTGATTTACTTAACGTATACTGCGTGAGGGGGGCTGTGATTGGATGATGACAAGTTTCGGATTCGGTGATCATTCTCAAGTGATCAGCACTGCTGCTGTTGTATCAGTCCGTGGTTAGATCAGCGTATACAGTCAAAAAACAGGACAAGGGAGGTCACGTACAGGACAAATCAATTAGACCCAAAATACAGGACGTTGGCAACCCTAGTTGCTTGCAATAAGACAAAAAATGGCCCGTTGCCGATCGCGTGAGTTCCAAGGGAAGCTCCTTAAGTTCGGCCGTCCTACACACACGTGACTGACCGCTCGCTCGCACCAACAGGAGGAGGGGGGTCGTGTTACTCTCTACACTGCACTCAACCTGAGGGATTCCTACACTTTCAGTCTTTGAGGAGACATGAAAAACAGTGCATACCGCAGGACCGGTATAATGAAAAAATATTAGCGGTTTTGAAACCGTGAAATTTTCAAACCGCGGTATACCTTGAAACCGGTAATCGGCCCATGCCTATCTGTGAGTGGCAAAAGTATGTTAATCTCTAGGATTAGCTGTTAATTTGAAGGTGAAATTAGAGTCCATCTGTTCAGAGGTGTTTTTAATCAGTGAGATGACTATCAGGTGTCAGTGTGTGCCCTGTTTTATTTAAAGAACAGGGATCTATCAAAGTTTGGTCATGTTTGTGGAAGTGTATCATGGCACAAACAAATGAGATCTCTGAGGACCTCAGAAAAAGAGTTGGTGTTGCTCATCAGGCTAGAAAAGGTTTCAAAGCCATCTCTAAAGAGTTTGGACTCCACCAATCCACAGTCAGACAGATTGTGTACAAATGGAGGAAATTCAAGACCACTGTTACCCTCCCCAGGAGTGGTCCACCAACAAAGAACACTCTAAAAGCAAGACGTGTAAAAGTCTACTAGGTTTCAAAGGACTGCAGGCTAACTTCTAAGCAACTAAAGACCTTTCTCACATTGGCTAATGTTAATGTTGATGAGCCCATCATCAGGAGAACACTGAACAACCATGGCGTCCATGGCAGAGTTGCAAGAAGAAAGCCACTGCTGTCCAAAAAGAACACTGCTGCCCATCTGCAGTTTGCTAAAGATCATGTGGACAAGCCAGAGGAATACTATCTGTCCGAGAACTGAATCTCAAGAGAAAGTGGGTCATGCAGCAAGACAACGACCCCAAGCACACAAGTTGTTCTACCAAAGAATAGTTAAAGAAGAACAAAGTTAACGTTTTGGAATGGCCAGGTCAAATTCCGGACCTTAATCCAATTGAAATTTTGTGGAAGGACCTGAAGCCAGCAGTTCATAGGAGGAAACCCAGCAACATCACAGAGTTGAAGTGGTTCTGTACTGAGGAATGGGCTAAAATTCCTACAAGCCATTGTGCAGGACTGATCAGCAGTTACAAGAAACGTTACTTGCAGTTATTGATTCAAAAGGGGGTCATTGTAGATACTGAAAGCAAAGATTCACATACTTTTGCCACTCACAAATATTTAACACTGGATAATTTTTCTCAATAAATAAATGACAAAGTATATATTTTTGTCTCCTTTGTTTGATTGGATTATCTTTGTCTACTTTCAGGATTTGTGTGAAAATCTAATTATGTTTTGGGTCATATTTATGCATAAATATAGAAAATTCTAAAGGGTTCACAAACTTTCAAGCAGCACTGTATGTGTGTGTGTGTGTACAAATATAAAAGCATCTGTATTTGACTGTAATTTGGGTTGCCAAAAATCTGTGCTCATAAACGCATTCAGTGACTAAACTGATAAAGCCACTTCAGTTTTTTATTGTTTTCTTAATGATAAAATAGGACATTGCGGTGCACGTTAGATGCACAACAGAACAGAAGCAGTGGAGCGTGTAACACAAGGACAGAGTTGGTGTGAAATAACTTCCATTCCTAATGGGAAGTTCTTGGTCTTTCATTGAGGGAGCACCAAAAGGTCATTAGGGTGGTGTCAATCTGTGACAAACCATAAAAATTAACTCACTTCACAGAAGTTCACCACAGAGAAATTTTACAATCTTTGCCTTGAACGTGGGAATGCGCCCCTTCTTGCTGAATGCAGCATTATGTGAAATAAAATTAACTCACTTCACGGAAGTTCACCACAGAGAAATTTTACAATCTTTGCCTTGAACGTGGGAATGCGCCCCTTCTTGCTGAATGCAGCATTATGTGAAATAGCTGGCAAATTTTTGACTGTTTCTGTTCATGTGCTATGTGCTGAATAAACCAGTGTGGATGTGATTGCTGTAAGGCTTCTGCTGTTGACTCAGAGGAGATGCCCCTTGCCCCTTTTGGCAGAGTGGGGGATTGAGAGGCTGCTTGTGTGAGGTGGCACAGAGACATGGACAGATTGCGATTGTAAGCACAGATTGAGGGATGGCTAGGATTCGTTAATAATAGTTATTTAGTTAAATTTTTGTTTTGAAAGTATGGCAAAAACTGGTAAAAATGTACCAACAATCACATTTAAAAAATATACACTTTTTGATATACCATTAAAAAAAAACAGGTATCCCATCTGAATTAGGACATTTAGGCTATCCATCTAATAGTAGCCTACCAAAATCTTATTAACAGTAGAAGTTAAATCTTACTGTAGTCTTCAAATCTGGGTACTGTCTTACGTTTTAAAATCACAAAGGGAGTTTGGTCCCATCAGGCTAACGTGACAGTCACGACTCATGCAGAATCCGTGTATCATTCGATCATTGGTTTTTTTATTTAATATTGAAAGTAGAAAAATGATAAAACGGCTCCTTTTTCATTTTTTTGTTTTTTTCCAAAAAATGAAAAACGAGAATTCAGCTTAAATAAATGAATAGGCAAGCTACTATATTTTATGAAAATCTTGCGTTGCAGTGCGAGTGCGCAGCAGCTCACGCCGCGCACAAGTGCATGTCCTTTTGAGATATCATATCAATTATAATCAATTTTAATAAAACACAAGACTACATTATAAAACTCTAACAGTAGGCTATTTAATATATGTTGTTCTCCGGTTGTCAGTCAGAATGACAGTTCTTGCGTGAACATTATAGGCCTATATATACCCAAGCCAATTTATCATTCCTTCCTTTTTGTCTTAGTGTTTAAAATATTTATTTTGAAATGAATGAATTAATGAATTAAACAAACAGACTTACTGGGGGAGCAGTAGAACTGATGATTGCACGGCTGACCAATCAGCAGAAAGGGGTGTTTAATTCCCGCCCATGTGTAGAAATCGATTATTCAAGCTGTTTCTTAATTTTTCTACCCCTGAACGAAAAACAAAAATTTAAGCTGAATTCTTGTTTTTAGTTTTTTTCCAAAAAACGAAAAAGGAGTCGTTTTCTCATTTTTCTACTTTCAATGACAGTTCTTGCGTGAACATTATAGGCCTATATATACCCAAGCCAATTTATCATTCCTTCCTTTTTGTCTTAGTGTTTAAAATATTTATTTTGAAATGAATGAATTAATGAATTAAACAAACAGACTTACTGGGGGAGCAGTGTAGGCTATGACAGCTGTCATATCATACCCTGCCATGCCAGCTGATGCAAAGAATAGAATTTATATCTACACAGAAGAAAGCCCTGTCTAGACTCTGCCCCGGTATGAGTTGTGTCGAGCTATTCATTAGCCTGTTTGTTTGATGAAAAAAGATGAAATGTAGTTGCAATAAATGTGTTAAGAATCAATACAACTGCAGCAGTGGAGGACTATTATTCTGCTGCGTGATACTGCAGAAGAACTGATGATTGCACGGCTGACCAATCAGCAGAAAGGGGTGTTTAATTCCCGCCCATGTGTAGAAATCGATTATTCAAGCTGTTTCTTAATTTTTCTACCCCTGAACGAAAAACAAAAATTTAAGCTGAATTCTTGTTTTTAGTTTTTTTCCAAAAAACGAAAAAGGAGTCGTTTTCTCATTTTTCTACTTTCAATATTAAATCAAAAAACGAATGATCGAATGATACACGGATTATGCAGCTGTAAAGTTTTCTTTTGTTTTAACTCGCGATCTTTACAACACGCATTACATTACGTATTTCATGGCACACTCGTTTTATGCGTATTTGGTGCCACCTATTGTTGTGGGTGTATTATTGACATGTCAAAGTCTAGACCCTGAATATAAGACGACCGCGTTTTTTCAGATGTATTTCCAAGAAAAAAACATTGTCTTATATTCGGGTCAATACGGTAATAAATTGCTGTTCTAAATTGAGTGAACTTAATATCCGTTTCACGATTCTTAGGATGAAGTCCTAAGGCTTCTTTTTGTAATGTAGGACAAGAATACCATGACTTTTTTCCTCTGAGAGAGTGCCCCCCTAAGGCAGCACCATAATCTTATTAGTCTTTCAAGCATTGACAAAAATTATTTTATAAAGAATTATGGAAATTAGACAAATACAGTATGAAGAAAATAGCAACACTCAATTGTAAAGCATTTATTTAAAACTATTTGCTGAGATTTCAGTTGACAGCACTTCATTCACATTAGCTCCAACAGGAAGTCATCTGTTCCATGGCTTGACTACACAAAATGCAGGCTGTCAGATCGTGTTGATGTACTGATGTAATAAAACATTGCTTGCAGTAGCAGTGTAAGTAATCCAGTATCAGAGATGATGCTAAGCCTTTCCACATCACATACTACCTGCCAGGGAGCCAGACAGCTTCGGTAGAGATGTAATATTTGGTTTTAATGGAAGTTGCTCGAAGTGTGTGATGTGTCCTAAGGTCAGAAGTCACCTGGAATAAAATTGGAACACATACAGTGTAAAAAAAACTTTTTCACCACTCTGTATGGTGTTGTGTTCAGCATATTGTGCTGCTGAAATGAAATAACGGAACATAAGCATCTGACGACCCTTCTGTGACTCCTACATAATGAAGCTCAGAGGTAAACATTCATATAAGTCTGAGAAAAGCACTATGGGTTGTTTAAGGTGTGTCCTTCTAATACCTTAATCATCCCCTTACGCTCCTCTAGTAATGCTGTCTACAATCTGGCCTCCAGTTACAATCTGTGACATCACTCCTTTCCATCTATGGCCATTGCTTCCTCACCTGTTCTTGTTTCATTCGTGGTTAAGATTATTTTTATCACTCCATGGTGGCTTTTCTTCCTAAGTTCCCAGATGATTAAGCATGAGTTGAATTGAGTGTTTATAAATGTTATTCCCACCAAACAGGGATGATCATATTGGGCTGCCTATTTTGTCTCAGCCTTTTGCTATTTTTTATTTTTTTAGCTGAGCAAACTGTGTCAAAGGGATAGTTCAAAAAGTCATCGTGTTCCAAACCTGTATTACTTTCTTCTCTCAAACAAGAGGAGGCTTCTTCAGAAGTATAATGAAATTAGTTTAAATGACTAATACACTGCACTATATTTCATATTCTGAAGCTGTATTATACCTTTGTGTAACGAACAGTCATTAAATCTTGATTTACCAAATTTAAGTAGTTTAAGTCATTATTTTTTAACAAAATGTTCACTCCAGTGAATCAAACTCAAGAAGAAATGTTTTGACACAATTGTCATTTATGGGTGAACTATCTCTTTACATCTGGTGATAGATTATATTTAATGACCAGAGATGGTAGACAGCAAATAGTTTTTCCCCCCTAAAACATTCAAATCTCAAGAAAATGACAAGAAAAAAAAAAACTTTAACTAACTAAATAAGCATAACAAAAAAGATAACCTTTCAATACATCTCCACGTACAAGTAAAATATTACCTTCCTTAACTAGTGTCTACAAAGTTTATACAAGAGGAGTCATCATGGTTTTCTAAGAAGTCGTAAAAACTTCCCAAATTGACAAAAAAAATGTTGAGTTTTAAAATACGTAATCTTTTCTAAAGAAGACAAAAAGGTCATCCCATTCATCGCATTATTACAGTTGTTAATGCATCAGGATATGTGCATACTTTATCTGACAACTGCAATTCAGTGCTAATCAGTGTTAGGATCAATTGTATAATGGAATAAAAGCAAATAAAAGACCTTCAAAACAGATGATCTATGAAGATATGAGAATGATTCCCATTGTGCTTGCGTTTCCAGTGTTCTTCCGTCAATGGTTAACTAAACTGCTTACTTTGACTGTTCAATAAGACTTTCAGGAGGGAATGTTATTGTTTATGTATTGGCAGTATACTAGGGACTAATTTATTAATGACTGACATTGTAACCTCATCCTTGTTATCAGCAGAGCTGTCAAATCTGATTTATGAGCTTCATAATTAACATGTTGATAGATTTATGTCACAGTTAAAGAGTAATAAATGGTTACATTATTGAAAGTAATGATCATATAGAAGTACTTTATATATGCGTGAGTGATTGTGAAATGATACTTTTAGCTGTTAAAATTCACAGTGATGACCTTGGAGACACCAGTTGAAGTTGCTTAACAATTCCTGGTTATGTGAGCAGGGTGTACTAATTATCTTTGGCTTGTAAATGTCACATTTGGCATGGCCTCAAAGTCTGAGCTGCAGATGCCGCTGCCTTTGAAGTTGGCCTTCATTTTATCACTGGTAGGAACATCAGCCCGTATAAATAAAATTAATTTAACAGTTCTTTATACTGGTTACCACTGGTTCCTCCGAGTTAAGAGCAAAAGAATGCAGGAGCCATAGTGGGCCCTTGCTGAACCTTAGAATGAACAATTCCACATGCAGCCACCAATCTTTGTAATTTTCATTAGCTGGACAGTTGCAGTTGTTGGATTCATCACATCTCACCTCATGAAAGTCTTGGCACAAAATGCCAACCGGGCAGTATGTTTAATGAGGTCATGTGCTGGAGCTTGATTTGTGCACTTTTGTTCATTTGTTTCTTCTTTTTTACCGAGCTTCATTAAAATCCCATCCTGCATGTGTCCAGCTGAAGAACAAGTTCATGAAGAAGCTGCCCAGAGATGCTGAAGCTTCCAATGTTCTCGTTGGAGAAGTGGACTTCCTGGACACTCCTTTTGTGGCCTTTGTGAGGCTGCAGCAGGCTGTCATGTTAGGGGCACTGACTGAAGTGCCTGTGCCCACCAGGTATGCCCTGCTTTCATCCCACAGGGCCAGCGAGGAAAGTAAACATAGTGGCAGAGAGGTGTTTTGGTCAAAAATAGGCTTTTATTAAACCATTAGAAAATATGTGTGTTTAACTTTAGGTGTGCTAATATTTTTTATCGTCTTCTCCAGGTTTCTGTTCATTCTTCTTGGACCCAAAGGCAAAGCCAAGTCATACCATGAAATTGGTAGAGCAATCGCTACCCTGATGTCTGATGAGGTAGGTAAATGCTAATTTTAGCTAATTGTCTGTCATATATCACTTCAAAATTTTGATTCGTTCACACAGCAGAACCAGTGTTATTTGAGTTGTATTTATTTATTTTTTATATTTCCGTTTAGCTTTGATTTTATTTGATTTCTGTTAGCACTTGTAGCATTTTCAAACATTTCATTTCGTTTTTTTTTGTATTTTTTTTTCGTTTTTCATTTAGTATTTATACTTTATTTTAGCTTTATTTTAATTAATGAAAACTTTTTAAAATAGTTTTAGTTTTAGCTAACAATATCAACACTGAACAGAACTGACTCTCTTCATTTCAGGACACATTTTGAGAGATTGGTACACAGGTGGTAGACGATACTTATGGCTATCAACATAATAAAGAATGGGCTTGTCTTTAGTTATTCAATCCTAAAAGCAGTATTCAATCCAACTCGATCAGGTCAATTCAATAGTCACACCTAACTGTAAATGTGGTTATGTTCTTTTATGATTTTATACAATGAAAAAAAGGTTTGTGCTTGGATTAGTCATATGTGGAGAGAGTTGGCCAGTAATCACCGTACTCTTATCAAGGTCTTCCATGAAATTGCGTACAAAGCCAAGGACAGACAAGATCTCCTCGCTGGCATTGACGAGTTCTTGGATGAGGTCATTGTCCTTCCTCCTGGAGAATGGGACCCTGCCATTAGGATAGAGCCTCCAAAATCCCTGCCATCCTCAGATAAAAGGTAATGATGTAGAGAGCCCATATCAGCCTGTCACTCTTTCTTTTGCTGAAGCCCCACTCATATCCCACATCAAAGTCTGTCAGTGTTTCCGTTTTGAAATGACTCAAACAATGGTGAGAGAGCTTTTCTGAGGCTGTCCCTTTTTGTCAGATATATAGTTTGTCAGTTGTTTAAAGGGTTAAAGTAATTTCAATGCAAGTGGTACAAATCAAATCTTATTGTTACAAATGACAGAAGTCAGTAAAATGGGTGTACAAGTCCTTTTTCATTTTAGTAGCCAAACTCTTTAAGCCATATACAGTGTATTTCATAATGTATGTCACACATGGTCTGGAAGTCGTTTCAAAGGACAGTTGGCCAGGCCATCCATTCATTCATTCAGTTTGGAGGAGCAGAGCAGCAGTTAATTAGAAGTACGTCACCTCTCTTTGGCTTCAGGTGAAGTGACAGCAGGCTGCCTCCTCATCTTGCCATGTCAGTCTGTACCAGCCCATATTAGCCATAAAGCAGAGCAGTGTGCCCGCAGCAGTCAGTCACACCAGCATAGCACACAATGTACACAACACACTACACACAGTAGACCTCATGCATTCATTCATGGGCTGTTGAATATAAACAACAGACTGAACTGGTTCAGCTATCTGTCTGTCTGTCTATATCTATCTATCTAAAGTCTGTCTTCTATTGTTTTTGTTTTATCTATTTTTAAATCTTTTTTCTATCTATCCATATCTATCTATCTGTTTGTCTGTCTATCTTATCATTTTATTTGTCAATCCACCATTTTATCTATCGCTAAGTCGTTCTATCTCTCTGTCTGTCTTTTTATCTGTTGTTTTATAATTTTATCTATTGTTTGATAATTTTATCTGATTGTCTATTATCATATAGTTCTATCCATCGTTCCTTGTTTTTTTTCTTAATGATTATATACCATATGGATGATTGAATGAGTAACATATTAATATATTATGTGAGGTACAGTACCAGTGTATGAGCTTGCGGGGATTTTTTATTGATTGATTTATTTATTTTGTCATCTATCTTTCTCTGTTCTTTCTTTCCTCCCTGATAACGGTAATTTTAGGGCATTAATAACATCAAGTGTCTTGTTCATTTGTTGGTTATCTTGTCCAGAAAGAACATGTATGCTGGAGGGGACAGCACACAGATGAATGGAGACACCCCTCACAGCGGTGGACATGGGGGCGGGGGGCACGCAGTAGGCGATGAGCTGAAGAAGTCGGGGAAGTGAGTTAATGTTTGTATAAATTCTTCTGGAGGAACAGATTATGCTGAACCTTTGAACATCATGATTTAGTTCAGATGAAGGTTTGTTTGACTCTTCAAAAGCACTAGAATTATCTTAATATTAGACAAACATTGAAGTCAGCATGTGCTCTGTTTACGGAGTACTTATTGTTATCATTAGATTTGATTTTGTTTTACTAGTACAGTGCAGTCCCACTGTTGGTTTTAGAAACACCTTGATCTTTGGCAATGCGTATGTGTAGTATTTTGCACTAAATAGATGTTACCAATTAATAATACCAGTAAACCGTGCTACTGTTTAAAATATTACTTTAAAATATTTCTAATAAATTAATAATAGTTAATAAAATTAAAATTAATAAAAACAAATTAGTATTTGGTATATCCCTCTTTTGCTTTCATTACTGGCTCAGAAATAGTATATAATAATAATAATTCTTGTTCATTGTTCATCATAATATTTAATTTTCAAAATCCTACCATTTTTGTGATTATTGCATGTTTATTTATTTTAATGTTATTATTAGGTTTAAATTATAAATGGAATACCAGATTTTAAGTTTCACTCAGATTTTTGAACCCCACTGTACAGAGTGAAAATATTTCTTTGAATAGAGAAGAAGGCAATTAAGAGAACACGTAGAAATTTAATGAAAATCACTAGAACAATTATGTCATATGTTTGGTTCTTCAGGTTTTGTGGAGGCCTTATTCTTGATGTCAAAAGAAAAGCCCCCTTTTTCTTCAGTGATTTCTATGATGCACTACACATCCAGTCTTTGTCTGCCATTCTTTTCATCTACCTGGGAACAGTAACCAATGCCATCACGTTCGGAGGATTGCTGGGCGACGCCACAGAGAATATGCAGGTGAAGATAAAGCTGCAAATCATGAGAAAGTTCACGGATGTGCCATGTGCTCACTGTGCCCGAGCCTTTCTAAATAAGTATCAGTCAAACCTTGCCAGGGATTACAGTGTAATTAAATCTCGTCAATCTTTAACTGACACACACTGGGAGCAGTTTCTTATCTGCCCACCTTTTGAAATGTTACCTCTAGTTCAAAGGTCATGTTAGTAGGTTAAAGTTGTTTTAGCTCAGGAAAGCCCTTCAGTATTTGTCAGTTAGCAAAGTGTAATTTAGAGGGATCTTCTATTACGATTTATTTATGTATACATTATAACATTTATAACATTAAAAGAGGGAATTAATTAAGATGAGGTCTATAGTGACTGTTCTGAGTAGTACAAAGTAGATCGGACTCTCCTTACTGATTCCATTTACATCAAATAGGATGTCTGGACCATTTTAGCCAACAACTATTGTTTGTTATTTTACTCAACAAAAAGTCTAAATCCTTAATAAAGGTGTACCAAGCAGCATAACAAGATATTTCACTTTAGTCACTGTATTTGATGAAGGTCAAAAGACATATAAAGTGGTAAATAGTATACCACATTCACAGACATTTCCATCCGGATGGGATTAGATTTCTCAGAGGGTGCCTGAGTTATTTTTACTAAGATTGTGTGAGGAAAACGCACACGTTATTGATTCAGACAGGATTTAAATTGTGAAGCACGACTGTAACATGAAGTCACTTGTCTCTTCAGTGGGAGTTCATTACAACAGTTTTCATAAGCACTATGGGATTAGTTTTCCAAACAGTGTTTGGATTTCAGTTATTAACAGTGCACGCCTGTGATTTCATGGATTGATTTGGACTGGACTAGTTAATAATGAGGGTCGGAGTCTGTTGTCTGGATATTGGCATTATGGAAGGCCATGTGCAACACTTAATTAAATGTATGGGTAATAAAATCAATTTTTTGAAAATTATGTACATCATTAAGGGAAGTAATTCATTAGGATTCAATTCTGAGCCATTTCTGCGAGTGAGGTCTTTAGATTACATTTCTCAGAGTACCTTTGATTTAGCTGAAAACTACAGTTAATTTGCTTTGTAATTTTTTACAGAGGTTGTGTGAGAAAGGCACAGATTTGCATGAGATAAAACAAGGTGAACAAGGAAAACTTGTCTCGTATGAACAGGGCTTTAAACACACTTTAACAGACTTTCTTTCCAGGGAACGTGATTGTGACTGAGCCTCAGTTGGGTTTTTCCCTAACCCTTTGGTTCTTTTTCATTGTGTGTCGTGTGAAGGGTGTGCTGGAGAGCTTTCTGGGTACAGCGGTGTCCGGAGCCATCTTCTGTCTCTTGGCTGGGCAGCCTCTGATCATCCTCAGCAGTACGGGGCCAGTGCTGGTGTTTGAAAGGCTGCTCTTTAACTTCAGCAGGTGCGTCATTATCTTTGTTCAGAATGTGTCATCACAAACTAACTACTGCAGCATATACTGACTATTTAGCAGTTAACTGAAACTTAGATTCTGTAAATAAAGCTTACTGAAGTGTTCAGTACATACTGATTTCCAGCGCTGGTCATAGATACACCATTCAAAGGTTATGGGTCAGTACAATAATTTTGTTTGTTTAAGAAATGAGTACTTGTATTCACGAAGGATTCATTAAATTGATCAAATGTCACAGTAAGGACTACCATATTACTAAAGAATTATTTTAAATAAATGCTTTTGATCTTTCTATTCATCAGCGTATCCTGAAAAATATCTATCACAGTTTCCACAAAAATATTACGCATCACAACTTTTTTAACATTGACAATAATAAGATGTTTCTTGAGCACCAAATCCGCATATTAGAATGATTTTTGAAGGATCATGTGACACTGAAGACTGGGAAAATGGCTGCTGAAAATTCAGCTTTGCCGTCACAGGAATAAATTACGTTTGAAAATATATCAAAATAGAAAACCAGTTATTTTAAATTGTACTAAAATTTCGCAATATTAATGTTTTCACTATATTTTTTGATTAAATAAATGCAGCCTTGGTGAGCATAAGAGACTTCTTTCAAAAACACAAAAAATTTACCCCACCCATACTTTTGAATGGTAGTATGCTTTTTATTGCTGTATGATTTGAAAATTGGAGGGACAATGAGTTCATTTTCTATCATACTATCCTCCACAGGGATCATGATTTTGACTACCTAGAGTTCCGTCTTTGGATCGGTCTGTGGTCGGCCTTCTTCTGTCTAGTCCTGGTGGCCACTGATGCCAGTTTCCTGGTGCAGTATTTCACCCGATTTACAGAAGAGGGCTTCTCCTCGCTCATCAGCTTCATCTTCATCTATGATGCCTTCAAGAAGATGCTGAAGTTGGCCCAGAAAACTTGTCTCGTATGAACAGGGCTTTAAACACACTTTAACAGACTTTCTTTCCAGGGAACGTGATTGTGACTGAGCCTCAGTTGGGTTTTTCCCTAACCCTTTGGTTCTTTTTCATTGTGTGTCGTGTGAAGGGTGTGCTGGAGAGCTTTCTGGGTACAGCGGTGTCCGGAGCCATCTTCTGTCTCTTGGCTGGGCAGCCTCTGATCATCCTCAGCAGTACGGGGCCAGTGCTGGTGTTTGAAAGGCTGCTCTTTAACTTCAGCAGGTGCGTCATTATCTTTGTTCAGAATGTGTCATCACAAACTAACTACTGCAGCATATACTGACTATTTAGCAGTTAACTGAAACTTAGATTCTGTAAATAAAGCTTACTGAAGTGTTCAGTACATACTGATTTCCAGCGCTGGTCATAGATACACCATTCAAAGGTTATGGGTCAGTACAATAATTTTGTTTGTTTAAGAAATGAGTACTTGTATTCACGAAGGATTCATTAAAGTGATCAAATGTCACAGTAAGGACTACCATATTACTAAAGAATTATTTTAAATAAATGCTTTTGATCTTTCTATTCATCAGCGTATCCTGAAAAATATCTATCACAGTTTCCACAAAAATATTACGCATCACAACTTTTTTAACATTGACAATAATAAGATGTTTCTTGAGCACCAAATCCGCATATTAGAATGATTTTTGAAGGATCATGTGACACTGAAGACTGGGAAAATGGCTGCTGAAAATTCAGCTTTGCCGTCACAGGAATAAATTACGTTTGAAAATATATCAAAATAGAAAACCAGTTATTTTAAATTGTACTAAAATTTCGCAATATTAATGTTTTCACTATATTTTTTGATTAAATAAATGCAGCCTTGGTGAGCATAAGAGACTTCTTTCAAAAACACAAAAAATTTACCCCACCCATACTTTTGAATGGTAGTATGCTTTTTATTGCTGTATGATTTGAAAATTGGAGGGACAATGAGTTCATTTTCTATCATACTATCCTCCACAGGGATCATGATTTTGACTACCTAGAGTTCCGTCTTTGGATCGGTCTGTGGTCGGCCTTCTTCTGTCTAGTCCTGGTGGCCACTGATGCCAGTTTCCTGGTGCAGTATTTCACCCGATTTACAGAAGAGGGCTTCTCCTCGCTCATCAGCTTCATCTTCATCTATGATGCCTTCAAGAAGATGCTGAAGTTGGCCCATTATTACCCGATCAACTCAGACTATAAAATGGATTACGTCACACAGTATGACTGCATGTGTATGGCACCCACTGATGGTAAGACCTGGTACATCTCTTTCTCTGATGTTTTCTTGTTTTGAAGTTTTAGATACTAAACCTTCATTCATTGCAGGTTTGTAAACTTGCCTGAATTTTTACTTTCATTTTAAATTGTGAATGGCCTTCCTAAGTCTCCGACATGTCCACACCAGATGCAAGAAACGATGAGTGCTGCCCGAACAGGAAAAAAAGATTACTGATACATATGTAACATTACTTTGCTCAGTGAAGCAGATATTATATAGCACAAAGTGACCTTTTTCCCCTTGCTTGGGATCCAAAATGTGCTACTTTGAGTTCAAGTGGAGTTACCATACTTTCATTCCTCTTCTTGACTACATGGTATTTAAATTTCTCATATTCTTCAGTCTATTAACCTTTAGCAAAAGAGTTTTGAATCTCACTGGGTCTCTCGTGAGAAGTGAATCACACTTGTTCTGTGTTGCAAGGCATGTGATTGGCTGTTAGCCACTGATGTCACACATTTATGTGCACATGCTCCACAAACTCAGGATCAAAGCCTGGGTTGACAAAGAAAGTTGATGATCAGCATCATGGCACCAACAAAGCCGGATTGGAGTGGTTTGGTTTTGTCAACTCGAAACTAATCATGTAACTCTGAATTTGTTCAACTTACCATCATGGTACAGGCCCCAGGTCTAATGTTGCTTTTGGAGTTTACAAGTATAAAGGTGCTGTCACATTTACTGTTGTATGAAGAATTTTTACTGTCAAAATCCATTCGTTTAAATTGGAATCCACCCAATCAGGAATTTAACCAGGCCAAAATATTTCATTTTGCAGGTTTCTCAAAGGGTCCTGGTCATGTGAATTCACCATGCTGACCAACAGAAAGCTGGTTGGTTTGAAAGTGACTTCTGTGTGAGCTGTGCTTCATGCGTCACCACACAGAAAATTCACAGAAATTTCGCTAATGTGATGCCACCTTAAAGGGGTGGTCACACTGCAGTTTATGTTCCACTGACTTTTTCATATGCATGCAAATTGATGAACTCTGCCTTGTGAATTCATATCACGTAAAGACATGTGACTATCAGAAGATTGAAAACTTTAAATCTGTAGGATTGTGCAGTAAAGTGGAGTAGACTGAATATATTTATATTTTGAATGTTGCATGTTGAATTTCAATGTAATTCGTTAAAAAAGAAAGATGCTGCAGAGTGTGACATATTACAACCGTTGCAATGTCTGTAGAAAATGTTGCTTGCTCAAAGTCTATTGTGACAGCGGCTTCAGTCAAGTCAGTTTATTAGCAACTTAAGTGTAACTTGAGTTTCCATCTCTGACGCTATAAAAAGATATGGAATGGATACAGTCTACAGTCATCTGCTTTGTTTTTTTTTCATGCAGGTTTTATATTGTGTTAAAATAATCTCTTGTTTGTATCTGTGTAATGTTTTGGTGGCTGAGTTAGCAACAATTTTGACATTCACTTGTGCTTTAGTGATGATATAAGACTTGTTGGATTCATTGAGGTCACCATATAGAACACAACACATTAGAGACAACTTCCTTGTCCTTGTTATGTTCAGAAAATGCATGGTGCTTTTTAATCCTTAAATTGTTGGCTGTTTCCTAAAACATTTTATCCAGACCTGCCTGATATTTTGTCCTCTCCTATAGAAAACGTTGTGAATAATATAGATCTCTCAATAGTTCCATTCAGATGAAGTCCTCAGTTAATTGAAATATAATGCCCAAATCCTTGCCAATTTTATAATGTAATTTATTCTTGTGTTAGCAAAGCTGAATTTTCAGCAGATGATCCTTCAGAAATCATTCTAATATGATGATTTGCTGTTCAAGAAACATTTATTATTATCATCAAAGTTTAAAAAAAAAACAGTTGTGCTCCTTAATGTTTTGTGGAAACATTTTTTTCAGGATTCTTTGATTAATGGTAAATTCAAAAGAACTTTATTTGAAATAATACTATAATATATACATAACATATCATTGTTGTAACAAATGCACTTGGTCAATTTAATGCATCCTTGTTAAATAAAATTATGAATTTCTTTAAAAAAAATCTTACTGACCCCAGACTTTCGTACTGTATTATGTGTCCAAAAATATACAAAAAGTTCTATAAAAATGTATAATATCTTATAATTATTTTTTGCTGCAGTTATCTAGAAAAAACAACTAGCATAATTTGCAGTATATACTAATATAATACAATTTATTTAAAATACGTTTTTAAAATAATATTTATTTAAAATAAGTTTTGTTCACTGTATAAACAGAATAATGGGAAAAAGAGCCAGTTCAAGAGATGATCTGTTCTGTATTAGCTATTTATTTATTTGTATAAAATGTTGTTATATGTTATTTATTTTTGTAAAATGGTTTTGGAACAGTGAACACTGCATGGGTCGGTACATGTGGTGTTTCTACTCAGGTGGCCTGAGGGTCTGCTTAATAGAAATAGATTTTGTTCAGGAAAAACAAGTATCAGAGGGACACTGGCTGGCATGCTCTGTTTGCGGCATCTTATGTACTGATTCACTGTCAATGCCAATCCACTCAGGACGTTACTGTTTGTATCCTGTAAACATTTGCCAAGTGCCCTGACTGCAAACTTCTGTGATCCTCAAACTGCACTCCTCTCAAATCCTCAGCCAACTAGCCCAAACCGTGGCTGGTTTGTGCCTCCGTTCGGAGGGAACCCCTGGTGGGTGTACCTGGCAGCAGCTTTGCCTGCCCTGCTGGTCACCATCCTGCTCTTCATGGATCAGCAGATCACCGCTGTCATTGTCAATCGCAAGGAGCACAAGCTTAAGGTAGGCCTGCCGTGAGTCTGCTGTGTGATACTCTCCCGAGCCAGAAGGTTTATCACGCTCACTTTGAGCCACCCAGGACCACAGGAAACACTTGCAGTGCCGTGGGCGACTATATCGGGATATTTATAGAAAGTCTTTTACGAATAGAGCTCTTTATCTTTTGTCTGGAGGATGTGAATCAAAACTTGGGGTCAAAAATAGCATTATTTAAACAGATGGTCTGAGGCAAGTCAAAAGGGGAAAAAGCTGTACATCAATAATGCAGGAATTGATATTTATATTCTTAATACTGAACTGAAAACTTAAAGAAAAGCAATTTGATTTTGTAATATACTGAGTTTGTAAGATGATAGCTAGAAAGGCTTTGTTGATAATCAAGAATTGTATGCTACTAGGAATTATAGACTACATATATAAAAATTCTGAAAAAATATATATTAAAAAAAAAATTTTATTCAAACTCTTGAGTTTTAACACTTCACCAAGCAGTTTCACCTCAACGTCACACTTTTGGTCCAGATTCTGAGTGGAACAAAGAGGAATTGTGAATCGGACAAAAGCAAACCATTTATTCTCTTTTTACCTGTAATGTGACGTGAGACTGGCCTCAAAACATTGTGTCCTCTCACTATAATGCCTCCCAATGGAAGTGCTCCTATTGTTATCTCTCTGAGAATTACACTGCCCTGGTGACATACTGTGCTGTACTTTTGTGTGATGCAGAGTAGTTTTATTTGTTAGAATAAAGCACTCAAGAAAACTGATGGCTTATTTAAAGGGACAGTTCACCCAAAAATGAAAATTGTCATTGTTATTTCGCCTTCATGTCAGTCGAAACCAGTAGACTGTTATTCTTCTGTTCAATACAAAAGGAGAAGCTCTTTTCCATAAAATAATTCATAGTGACTACCTCTCTCAAGACTATTAGACTTCCAGAATATCACCGTAAAAATGATTGTAGCAATTAGCCATCACAACTTAAATTTTAGTCAAATAACTTTACTGGATTTAACTTAAGATAACTCAAATATCCAAGTTATCACTTAATACTTCACAACTCAAGTTGACTAAACTTAAAATTTGAAGGCAGCACAAACACTTTTTTATGGGTAGAAACAATTTTTATACTGTAACAGTATATGGCAATAACTACAACATATTCAGTATATATGATTTTATTTATTAATGGCTTTATTGAATGGATGCTGCATTATTGGGACCTTATTTGTCCCAAACCCTAAAGCTTACCCCTACACCTGCACCTACCCCTAACCCTAACCACTTTGTATATTAGACCTGCTCAAAGGTCCAGAAAGAGAGCAGCGGTTTTGAGCACGGTAACAAAATTAGCTGCATGTATCAAGACTGGCTATCTGGACATGTAGATACTGTATTATTTTTTTATGGTGCTTTGTTTGTTTTGGACCTTGATAGACTTGATTGAGACATTGGAAAATGTAAAAGAGCTATTTGAATTATCCTTTTATGTTCAATTATGACAGCAAAAATAGCAGCATGCATGTTTGGAGCTACGAGAAGCTGCGTAAATAATGTGAAGAAAAAAAATGATTACTGGGCAAACTATTATTGTAAAATTTTACCGAACACTATAATCAGTCATAAAAATGTTTATGATTGCTCTTATAGCATTTTGTAAGCAAACTCTTTTCTCTGTCTTGATCAGAAAGGTGCAGGCTATCATCTGGATTTGTTCTGGGTAGCTGTGCTGTTAGCAGTGTGCTCTTTCACGGGTCTGCCCTGGTATGTAGCTGCTACAGTTATTTCCATCGCCCACATTGACAGCTTGAAGATGGAGACAGAGACGTCGGCCCCTGGCGAACAGCCCAAATTTTTGGGTGTCAGGTATGTTCTAAAGAATAAAAAGACGAGGTGATATTTGGTGGTTCCTGTGTATTTGTAGAGTGTCGTGGCATAAAACTGAAGGATCTGACTATGACAGTAAAGCGTCACTCGTTGACTACAGAGTTGGGTTCAGTGGGACGTCTGTTAAAAGGCTACATGTTGGACTGAACTCAAGGGGACTTTATTGATGCAGCTGTAAGCTGAACAAACGTACTGTAAACAGGCCTAGTTCTGCTGAAAACACACTCCCAGTATTTAGGTTGCACTTTTAACACTTCTCTGGTTTGGTTAATTCCCAAAGTATTTCAGGTATTAATGATAAACATTAATAATAAAAATCTGATTAATATTATAATCAGAAAGAATCATTAATAATTAGGGAAGTGGAATCTTTAACTATTAGATCCCACTTCCCTAATTATTAATGAGGGAAGTGGGATCTAATGGTTAAAGGTGTGAGCTGGTAACTTACATGTTGCAGGTTTAAACCTAGAAACTATAACCTTTATGCCCCTGATCGAGGAACTACACTCCAAGTTACTCCAAGGGGTACAACCGTCACTCTAATAGGTGTACTGCAAGTCACTGTGGATAAAAGCATGTGCCAGTTGACTTCTTCCTGTAATTAAAACAATGATACACTGCATGTTTGTTCGTCTAAGAACACTGTGTAGCTATGTTTGTTTTTTGCTGTATGCACCTGTTAGTAATGGGTGCAGCTGAAATAGCCAAACCTGCTAATTAGAGGAGGGTGTCCACATACACTAACATTCAAATATTTGGAATCAGTACGATTTTTTTTAAAGAAATTAATAAATTTATTCAGCAAGGACACATCAGATTGATTGAAAGTGACACTTATAGTATACTTTTTTTCTCAAATAAATGCTGTTCTTCTGAACCTTCTATTCATCAAAGACTCCTGAAAAAAAAACTATCACAGAAATGTTTCTTGAGCACCAAATCAGCATTTTTGTAATTTTCTTCTCTTCAGGGAACAGAGAGTTACTGGTGTCTTTGTCTTCATCCTCACCGGTCTGTCTGTCTTTATGTCTCCTATCCTCAAGGTAACAATACAATACATCCAGTCGCATCAAACACACTGCTGCATGTGTGTGATTTTCTTTGTCTGTTCTCAAACACATAATGGCTTTGAATGTCTGAATAATTATTTCCTGTAGTTTATACCAATGCCAGTGTTGTATGGAGTCTTCCTCTACATGGGTGTCGCTTCACTCAACGGAGTTCAGGTAAGTTACCGACACGATTCTGCGCCATTCAAAACTCAACTGAAAAAGCCTTTTAAATTAAATTTCTGGGATGTAGAATTATATTTCAAATTGGAATTTGAGAAATTGGAATAAAATCCTTATACAATATGATTTGGGGTATTTCCAAACACATTATATTATTGTATAATCACTATTTGAAATAGTTTGACAGTAACTTAGCTGGGAAAAGTATGTTTTTTGTTTTTTTTGAGTATTGCTCTTTGGTTCTCAGTTTATGGACCGGCTCAAGCTGCTCCTCATGCCTGCCAAACACCAGCCAGACCTGATCTACTTGCGGCATGTCCCATTGAGGAAGGTCCATCTCTTCACTTTCATCCAGCTGCTTTGTCTGGCACTCCTCTGGATCCTGAAGTCCACTGTGGCTGCCATTGTTTTCCCCGTTATGGTTAGTCACCTCTTTTTAGCCGTTCTTGATTTAACAAGCGTTAATGTTATAAGCGGCTTTGACTGCAAAACTGAGAGCTTCAGGTCTAAAAATTGCACTACCTGTCAAAAGGTTGGAATTTTTTTGTTTTGTTTTGTTTTTGAAAGAAGTTTATTTTGCTTACCAAGACTGCATAAGAGACTTCTTTCAAAAGCATTAAAACATCTGAATTATTCAAATATATTAACTAGTAATGTACTTGTGCCAGTTATTGCATCCCACTAGAAAAACAGATCAAATGTTACATATTTGTCATAATATTAACTCTCAAGTGCTGTATTTTTTTGAGGAAGGTCCATCTCTTCACTTTCATCCAGCTGCTTTGTCTGGCACTCCTCTGGATCCTGAAGTCCACTGTGGCTGCCATTGTTTTCCCCGTTATGGTTAGTCACCTCTTTTTTAGCCGTTCTTGATTTAACAAGCGTTAATGTTATAAGCGGCTTTGACTGCAAAACTGAGAGCTTCAGGCCTAAAAATTGCACTACCTGTCAAAAGGTTGGAATTTTTTTGTTTTGTTTTGTTTTTGAAAGAAGTTTATTTTGCTTACCAAGACTGCATAAGAGACTTCTTTCAAAAGCATTAAAACATCTGAATTATTCAAATATATTAGCTAGTAATGTACTTGTGCCAGTTATTGCATCCCACTAGAAAAACAGATCAAATGTTACATATTTGTCATAATATTAACTCTCAAGTGCTGTAGAACGCAACTGTTTCATCATCTGTAGTATATGCAGTGAACTGAAAGAGCACATTTGCTATTCTCTTTGGTCAGATCTTGGCTCTGGTTGCTGTGAGGAAGGCATTGGACTTCATCTTCTCCCAGCTTGACCTCAGTTTCCTGGATGATGTCATACCTGAGAAGGACAAGAAAAAGAAGGAAGATGAGAAGACAAAGAAAAAGAAGAAACAAGGGAGCATAGACAGTGACATGGAAGATGTGAGTGTCCTGAAAAATAGCCACAAACTGTTTTAATATTAGTATTAAGATCACTTTAGACTTTAAAGGTGACATATCATGTAAATCTGACTTTTCCAGGTTTTAAGTGCTATAGTCAGGTCCCCTGTGCATCTACCAACCAAAGAAATGTGAAAAAGATTAACTCAGTAACTTTGCTTTGATAAGCTTTTTTCTGCAAGCGTCTGAAAAAACAAGCGCGTCTGATCTCGCTCCCATAGTGACGTTGCAAAGGGATCTCATTATAATATTACCGCCCCTTAATCTGTAAGTTTCCACCCATGGCGCCGTCATTTTGATTTCGCAAGCGACAACGGTGTACCAGTTCTAATACCATGGCGAAAGTTTGAGCAAAACATGCTAACTGTTCTGTCTTTGGCTGCACAGACGAGCACAGAACACTATTTAGAGTCCCAGCCTCAGAGCAGACAACAGAGCAGTGGATTTATTGATTAATTTACTGCATATTGCTGCTGCCACACAGATCTATAATAAACATGCAATTTATTTCCCAGCTTTTCCCAGTTTGCCTTCACAGTCATAACCTATTTTTTTTGTAACTTATGTGTGTTTTTAACGTAAACTTGTGTGTGAATGAGAACTTAGTTTAGTGCTCACATGCTGTGACAGACGCTTTCTGTCCGTGTGCTTCGGATGTGTGCACTCAGAAAACCGTATCTGAAGTTTAAACTCATATGGTTTAAACCGCATGATTTCAGCATGATAAACATGATAATCAGAACCAAAATAGATGTTCTTCAGCAGGTACGAGCTGTAATGGCACAGCTCTATTCTGGAAAAGGGGACAGGGAGCAGGCAACTCATTTGAATTTAAAGATACAGCGGTGTTTCTGCTTCTGCTAAAAATAGCCATTTTCAAAATGATATAATAAATGATCTGTGGGGTATTTTGAGCTAAAACTTTACAGTTACATTCTGGGGACCCCCTTATATTACATATTGTAACAAGGGGCATAATATGTCACCTTTAAGAAAAAGCTCACTTAGTTGCCCTTTAATAATATGCTTTAATACCTGTGTATGAGACACATTATGACTGGTAGACACATTTGACTGGTAGTCTATCCATCCATCCATCCATCCATGGAGGATGAACTATGCTGGTGTGTGTAGGTGTGTAGGTGTGTAGGTGTGTAGCTCCTAAAGCTCTTTTTGACCGTTTCTCCCTGTGCAGTCTGACTGTCCTTACAATGAGAATGTCCCCAGCATTAAAATCCCAATGGACATGATGGAGCAAGAGCCTTTTTTAGGAGATAAGGCCTCTGACAGTGAGTAGACCGGACCTGGGGCCTCACCTCAATTCAAACCTCTTGAATGATTCAGCATGAGCATTTTGCTTTCTCTTCCTTTCATAACGCGGTGCATGCTACCACTTGCTCCTCTGTCACGTCTCAGTCCTCTATAGCAACTGACAACTAAAACTTTTTTTGTCATCTTTTTTTAGTTATTTTAGTATGTAACAAACCGTTTTGTATGTACTGAGCTGGTGCTATTGGTCCTGTATGGTGTAAAAGCATGATGGTGGTATATAGTGCATTTGTTAGCAGAATGTAAAGCCGTGCATGTGCTAATAATAGACCATGTGTCCCTCTTGCAGGAGAAAAGTCCCCTTCATTCACTGACCGATATACATCGTGCTGAAAAGCGGCACTACTTTCAGACCAGCCCGATGTCAAGGTACGCGTCTTAAGCTGTTGTGTGTTAGTAATATGTAATTATAGTATGGATGAATAACAACATAGAATATTAAGAATGTGTCTCTTCTTAAGAACATCAAATGTACACATTAAATGATTAGATACGTGTTTCAGATTTTGTATACTTGATAAAAAAGGGGGTAAGCATTACTATAATTCAGTAAGATCAAGATGCTTACACTAAAAGTCACCTTTATTTCTTTCAACATCACAATTTATCAAGGCTTACATAATGCCTTTATACTACTCTTGTTAGTTGTTCAACAACATTCTTTGAACCACGGGTTAAATAGTATCAAAGAAATTCTTGGTAGTTACTGGGAAATAAATTGAATAGCTGTTTGTAAGCTGACTTGTCTTTTTCAGTTCAGAGAGACTGCCATTAAATGTGCCTCAGATTAAAATAGATATGGACCCAGATGACAACAATGGCTGCTACTGGAGGAGTCGAGGGTCTGAAACGTCCATATAACGCCTCCAACCAATCAGCTACATAGATTTTATTAGCTCTTGCGATTTGCAGAAAGCCATTTGCCAAGGGATATTTTGTAAAGACTGTTCCCCATCATGGATCCATTCTGTGAAGACTAAATAACAGCTTGAGGAACGCTTGTCTTCTACTCACTTAATCACTACGGTTTGCAAGTTGTAATTCCTAAACTACTATGCAATTCAGTTCAATATTTCACTTACTGTATGTGCTGAGCTGTAAAGCAATGCTGTAGCTGTTTTTACACAGTTCCACAACTACCATTATTCATCCAATACAATATGAATCTTCACTTAACCTGACACAATTTTCCTTTTCCTTTATTTTTTTGCTCCTCTACCTCTGCTTTACATGGTAGGCATTATGTAAAAAATAATTCACTTTTTCATTTTTTTTATTTGCACAGCATGAGATCTTAATGTTGATCTTTTTTTTTATGTACATCTTGAGCAAACTATTCAGCAAATGACTTCACTTATGAAGAGAGAGAACAACTGTGACAATATATTATAATATTTAACTTGATTAATTTTTTAATGATGGTTAATGTTAATGATTGGAATTGAACCTGCTGTTTTTCATATTGTTTCATTTAATATAGTGTGGTTTTAAATTTAATTTGTTTCGTTTTACAAACAATATTTATGCCTAATTATCCAAACACGTTCTAATAAGCTTGATTAATTAAGAAAGCCTAATAATTCATTTTGCGTTTCAAGTCTGGTTAGGCATTTGCTTTGTTACCTGCTTATGGAAATAGTCTAAAAGAATAAAAGTCTACGTGTATAACCTACACGTACTCGAGGGTCTGTTGTCCTTCAAATGATTTACCTAAGTGGCTTAAACCTGAATTGCAATAATACGTGAAATTTCTTTAGGTTTAAGGTTGTCTCGTGTAATTCAGATCACTTTTTTAAATTGTGCTTTATTTTACAGATGTCATATTGCAAGTTGTGTCATTTGTAAAAAATAAGTCAGAAAATGTCAACAGTGTGGTACATACATTTGAATAAAGATGACTTTTGTGCTGAGTCATACAGTGCATGTCCTAAACATGTTCTCTTTGATCCTTCAAGAACTAGGTGTCCTTTGTTGATTCCTGCTAATTTGTCATTATTTTTCCTCTTGCTTTCAAAAAACAAAAGTATACAAATTGTAGTATGCAATATTTTCAAAATCAACTTTTAACCTTGTAAGTATACGTTTTTTTAACTTATATTTTTGGGGGTACCTAAAGATGAAATCTATTGTGAAAGCATGTTTGGGGAAATTCTTGGAACGTTTAAACAATGCTAAATGTTAATTGTAGAGTGTGTAACAATGTTACATTTTTAATCAAGTTTTGTGACTTTTTAGAACAAAACAGCTGAAATTATTTTAGAATGTATATTTTTCAAAGGAAATGAATATTAATAAACAGAATTTATTAAATGGTCTCCTCATTTATTTTTGTGTTACTGTTTTTATACTTTTGTCCTCCTTTAATAACATTTTATCTGATACATAGGGTAAATAACCCCACCAAAATCATATTTCAATGTTAGACCAAAAAAAAAGTTGCTTCATTAAAGGTATCTGCAAATGTGAACAATTCACTTTATTGTGGACACAATATTTCAATGCTAGTCTCCACTGCAGCCCCAAATGTGGGTCATTTGCTTTATATAAACCATTTTAAATCAAACTTACTTTACCATGTCTTTACAAATTATGCTGCTGCATCAATATCCAATTAAAAAATCTAGTTTTGTAATGTATTTGGGGACAAAAAACAATCTTTAGGTGGGTTTTCGGCCTCGTTTTTTAGACGTATTAATAATCATTAATAAATAATGATCTTGCACTACAACAGCTGTGTCTTAAGTGTTAGCTGTTCACTGAAGATGGCACAATATCGCCATCTAGTGTTTACAATTAACACTGCCCAGAGTAGTGGCAGGTCCCATGACATGCACTTTAACATCTAATTTAGTAATTGTAGAATATTATAAAAGTGCTTTGGGACATTTTATGAAAAAAGTCGCAGATAGTACTTCAGTGGTTTAGAGTAGAGTGGAAAGCTACATTTTGCCAGCCAAAGAGACATTTTAGGAAGATGATAGAAAATGTTTGTAAGAGGGAAAGAGAAATAAAGACTTTGAAATGTTTGATGTCAATTATTCAAATAATGCAGTTTAAATTTGCATGCAGTCACAAGAAAATCTTTCCCCTGATGCTCATCTCTACTAATATCACTTTCCAAGCCTTTCAAAAGCATTAGCATTATTACACCATAATGTGACAACCTTTCTACATCAGCAAGACTGTCCGGCTGCTCATGACAAAATGCAGGATAATTAGACGTTTGCCAGTTTCTTTTCAATAGGCCTATAGGAGAAAACTAACTAATCTCTGCGCATTTTTACGAATTTAGACATTCCAAAGCAAATGCACACACTCAGACCTGCTCTGTTTATATACATTTTAAATTTAATGTACATATTCAAATATACAGTATTTGTGATAAAGATGTTCATGCAATGTAATCTATAAAAATAATGTAAAAACCATAGCTTACAGACAGTAAACTCAAAAATCATAGAATTTTCAGTTCTTTTCATGTTAAGCGAAACTAACATAGTCCATTTAGATGTATTTATGAGTTATGGTGCTTTTGTCCAACCGACCACAAGGGTTTCAGGAGAAATTCAATAGGCCTACATTCTTGTAGGCCTACTTCTTGGCCTTTCATCATTCTTTTGTTCTGCTGCATTAGACGTGATCCAGACAGCTGTAGCAGACAGACGCGAGTCCCTGACTCTATAGACTGTCTGTTCTGTTCTGATCAATACATGTTACCATCTTAGTACAGGAAGAACATGTTTTAAGGCCTAAAAACATCTATCTTAGATAATTTATGTGGTGTACACTCCTTACCCAGAGTCCCCCGTCCACAGCACATCACCATCAGAAACATTTGAAATTGATAACACCTCAGCATTAAGCTGCATGCATGAACTCGATATAAAAACGACTTTAATTGAATCCAAAAGACCCGACAGCACCTCAGAATCACCGGAACGCAGATAAACAGATGTAAAAAGAGTTGAAGATGTTTTTTTTTTTTTTTTTTTTTACAGCAGTTTGAATTGGGAAAAGGAACCTACTGAAGTTGAAGTCTGCTTCTGTGCTGGTGGAGCAGCTCGATAAGGAAAAGTTCCATGTTTGAACTACAGTTGGAAAAGCCTTCATCAACAATGAAAGTTACAGAGATGGTGATGTTTCCATCTCAAGCTCTGTGTGCCCAGCTAATGGAACATTCTCAGAATTTCTAGGAACTATTCTGGGAAGGTACACTCTTAAAAATAAAGGTGCTTCAAAAGGGTCTTCAAGCGATGCCACAGAAGAACCATTTTTGGTTCCACAAAGAACCACTCAGTCAAAGGTTCTTTAAAGAACCATCTCTTTCTTACCTTTTTATAATCTGAAGAACCTTCTTTCGCCACAAAGAAGCTTTTGTGAAACAGAAAGGTTCTTCAGATGTTAAAAGTTCTTTATGGAACCATTTAGACAAAAAGGTTCTTCTATGGCATCGTGAAGCACCTTTATTTTTAAGAGTATACTCTCAAAGTTATGAACAAACATTCTTCCAGTATGCTTAATAGAATGTTCGTGAAAAGTGATCTTTAATGTGTTCTCAAACATTAGCACACAAAAACAAACAAACCTTATTGTTACATTTTTTCATGGAACTCCCCCCCC